CCTCTCGAAAAAAAAAAAGTATATACACACTAAGGCAAAAACCTCTTTGAAATTTCTTTTTCCTTGGGACCAGCAGGTGGCATGGTGGTTAAGGTGCTGGACACTCCCACATGGCTGACCATGGTTCGAGGCCCGGACCTGGTGGCGTCCACTTTCTCTCTCTCTGGTCAAATTAAAATGAATGAATGAATAAAATTAAATAAATTTTTTGGGGTTTTTTTGAGAGGTTTTTGCTATAGGGCGCGTGCGCTTGCCAGACAGACAGAGAGAGCGATATAGAGATAGAAAGCAAGAAATCGCCCCCCGGGGGGATGGTCACGCCGCAGTCCCTTCTCCTCCATTCTCCTCTCGGGATCTTGGGCACGCACGCACACGCACCCGGCGTGAGTTTTAAGTCACCGGGTCCGGGACGCGAACCACGGTTGACTACATGGGAGTCCAGCGACATAGCCATTACGCTAACTGCTGGTTCCCTAAATAAATATTTTTTTAAAAAATTTTTTCTCAATGTTTTCTTCTAAGAGTTTTATAATTTTAGTTCTTAACTTTGGATCATTGATACATTTTTAATTAATTTTTCTATATAGTGCAAGGTAAAAATCCAACTTTATTCTTTTACATATATATATTGTTTTTCCAGCACCTTTTGTTGAAAAGACTGTCCTTTCCCAATTGAGTGGTTTTGACAGCCTTTTCAAAAATCAGTTGACTGGAGCCAGATCATGACGTAGTACTTAAAGTGGCTGGATCCCACATGGCTAACCATATGATTTGAGTTCCAGATCTGGCATGCTGGGCACATATGTGTCCAAAATCCCAAAAGGAGGGAGAAATGAAGGAGAAAGGATTGTGGCATGAACATGCCCTATGGGGAGATGCTTTCTCACTTTCTCTCTCTGTTTCTCTTGGTGAGTGTCCATGTCAAATTGAAAAAAAAAAAAAAAAAAAGAAGCAGCAGCAGCAGCTTAGTTGATCATATATATGACAGTTTATTTCTGGATTCTTTTTTTTTTCTGTTCCTAGTGATTAAGGAAACTAGATCTCACATGGCCAACCATGGTTCAGTCCTGACCCTGGGAGTTTGAAAAACACTCAAGGCATGTGTACATGTTTTCCCAAAATCTCAATAGGATAGAGAAATGAAGGAGAAGGGATTGCAGTGTGACCACATACCACTGGATGTGCTTTGTTCCCCTCCGACTCCCCCTCTCTCCCTAGCAAGTGCACACACATTCTGACATTTAAAATATAATATTAATGCATAAATAAATAAATAAATAAATGGGAGGAATATAGAAGGTAAAAAAAAAAAAAAATGCTTTGTAGGGGCTAGCAGGTGCTATGGTGTTTAAGGTGCTGGACTCCCACATGGCTGACCACAGTTCAAGTCCCAGACCTAGTGATTTGCCTTCTCACTTTCCCCCATTCTCTCTGTCTCTCTCCGGTCAAATTAAAAAATAATAAAATTAGGGACCAGCAGATGGCAGAATGGTTACATCACTGGCCTCCCACATGGCTGACTGCAGTTCGAGTCCTGGGCCTGGCAGCTTGAAACTCATACCAGGCAGGTTTGTGTTCATGCCCAAAATCCCGAGAGGGGGATGGAGAAGGAATTGCAACATGGCCATTCCCCCTAAGGGGGTGATTTCTTGCTTTCTGTCTTTCTGACTTTCTCAGTCTCTCCAGCAAGCATGTGTGCCCTATAGCAAAAAACTCTCTTAAAAAAAATAATAATAATGAGACCAGATGACATAATGGTTATGTCACTGAACTCCTATGTAGTTGATCACGGTTCTAGTCCTGGATCCTGTGGCTTAATACTCATGCTGGGCAGGCGCATGTGTGTCCAAAATCCCAAGAGGAGAATGGAGAAGGGATTGCAGCATGGCCATCCCACCTGGTGAGGTGGGGCATGATTTTTTGCTTTCTGTCTCTCTATGTCTCTCTGTCCCTGGCAAGCACATGTGTCCTATACCAAAAATCTGTCTCTAAAATAATAATAATAAATAAGTCTTTTAAAAAATTGCTATGCATCTCAAAATAACAAAAAAGGATTTTTGATTGTTTCCAACCCAAGTAAAGACAAGCAATTGAGATGCTAAGTATGCCAATGATCGTATGCCAATGATCGTTTTAGATAAGCAGGAACATCTAAGTAAGATTCAGAGTTCTACAGCCACAGACTGTGAATGGGATGAAGGGCAAACCATTTAATATTTCTCTAAGTTTATTTGCTATCATTACACATTATTATTTTAAGTTTTTTTTTGACCACAGGGGGCATGTGCTAGCTGGAGAAAGACAAAGAAAGGGAAAGTGAGAAATCACGCCCCAGGAGAGATGGCCATGCCACAGTCTCTTCTCCTCCACTCTCCTCTCAGGATTCTGGGCACACATGCACATATGCCTGGCATGATTATCAAGCTGCCAGGTCTGGGACTCAAACCACGTTCAACTATGTGGGAGTCTAGCACCTTAACCATCACATCACCTGCTGACCCCTTGTATTATTTTTCCCTTGCATTCTCACTAGAGGGAGAAAGAGAGAACCTTCCAGTGGGGCACGATCATTCCACAGTCCTTTTTCTTCATTTTTCCATATCATCAGGATTTTGGTGATACATGTCCACTTGCTCCATGTGATTTTCTTTTCATTTTTATTAAAATTATTTATTTCTCTTTATTAATTCACTTATTTTAATTTGATCAGAGACAGACTGAGAGAGAGAGAGAGACAGGGAAAGTGAAAAAGCAAGCCACCAGGTCCAGGACTTGAACTGTGGTCAGCCATGTGGGAGTTTCCAGCACTTTAACCACCATGCCACCTGCTGGTCCCCAACTCTATGTGATTTTCAAGCCATCAGAGTAGGACTCAAACTACAGTCAGCCATGTAGGATCTGACTTTCTATGCACAGCAGTTAACCACTACACTAAGGGACTGGCCCTATACATTCTATTTTTTTATTATTATTATTTTATTTAACTTTATTTATTTATTTTTAATTTGACCAGAGAGGGACAGAGTAAGAGAGAGAGAAGGAGAGACTGGGAAAGTGAGAAAGCAAGCCACCAAGTCCGGAATTCAAACCACAGCCAGCCATGTAGGAGTCCAGCACCCTTAACCACCATGCCACCTGGTGGCCCCCTTACATTCTATTCTAATACTCTAAAACCACACTGTATTCTTAAAAATATGTACCAATATTATATGTTAATTGAATTTTTTAAAAAGAAAAAAGAGGGCCAACCAGTGATGTGGTGGTTAAAACAGTTGGATCTCACATGACCAACTGTGCAATTCGAGTCTCAGAACCAGCAACTTGGAAAACATGCTGGGTATATTTGCATGCATGCCCAAACTCCTGAAAGGAAGAATGGGGGAAAAGGAATGGTGGCATAACTGTGCCCCATTGAAGGTGATTTCTCACTTCCTTTCTCTCTGTCTCTCTCTCTCTCCAGTGAGCACATACACACTCTAGCAGATTAAAAAAATAATAATAAATAGAGTCAATAAGCTCCAGCAATATGGAAGTCCTTGATGACACTTTTTGAGGGTGGTTTAAATTTAAAAAAAAAAAAAAAAAACACTGGAATCAAAACCATAGTATAAACTATAAGGATTAAATGGATTGTTGAATAAATAGAGATTATGCTTTAAAATATTTTAATTGTTCAAGGCTTCAGGTACCTAATTTACTTTTTCATTTTGTTTTCCTTTCATTGTTGAACTATGTCCTGTTTCTTTTTCCTATAGGTGAGACCTGGAACCCCTTCAAACTACAATACCAGCTAAGAAATGTAAGAGAGCGAATTGCAAAGAACCTAGTGGAGAAGGGTATTCTAACCACTGAGAAGCAGAATTTCCTACTATTTGACATGACTACTCATCCAGTGACCAATACAACAGAGAAACAGCGATTAGTGAAAAAACTTCAAGACAGTGTCCTAGAGCGGTGGGTAAATGACCCTCAGCGCATGGACAAGCGAACACTAGCTCTCTTGGTGCTAGCCCACTCCTCAGATGTGCTGGAGAATGTCTTCTCCTCTCTGACAGATGACAAGTATGACGTGGCAATGAATCGAGCCAAGGACTTGATAGAACTGGACCCTGAAGTGGAAGGGACAAAGCACAGTGCCACAGAGATGATCTGGGCTGTGCTGGCAGCCTTCAATAAATCCTAAAGGCGGCAGGTGGGTTTCTCCTTTTCCCCTGCTGGCTGATGACTGTCAGAGACCCCATCACTGAGTTTTGTGTGATGAGATGTTTTCATCATCTTTTTCCTTCTCTTGAATCAGGCTCATGATTTTAGGGAGACCAACTTTAGGGCCTCTCCATAGACTTTGACCATTATAAGTAGATTTGATTTCTCCCTGTACATCCATTCCATAGGTGAATAAACTGGGTGAATCCACCACCCAATAAATATTTTCTCCCTTCTCTTGGTTTAGTCATCCATTGTGCTTTTAGATAAATAGGAACATCTAAGTGAGGTTCAGAATTCTACAGCCATAGACTGTGAATGAGATGAAGAACAGACCATTTATTTTTCTAAGTTTGTTTTCTATCTTAAATACATGTTTTCACAGCCTTTGTCTCTAAGATTCTGCTATATAATGTAGCTTATTGAAATAGCTGTCTTTTTGAGTTAGGAGCAGTGGAACCACAACTAATTTTTGGAGCAAGTAGTCTCTGGGATTATATGTCCTACTAGTGATTTTTCTCATCTTTCCTTTTCTAACTTAATGGAAATGTCCCAAATTTAATTACTGGGATCTCATAATTCTTGAGCTAGAAATACATTCTATACTCCATCTTCGCAGTATCCTTCTCCCTCATTCTTAGAAGTCCAAATGGAAGGAATAAAAAAGTATCTCTTAACCAGTATTAGAATTTATAAGGGAGGGAAGTGACTTGAGAATTTCCATCTTCTAGCACCTGACTATCCTATTTCCTCCAGACTCTAAATATCTGCTCTGGTTGAACTGAAGGAATTGTTAGTTTCAGTTACCAAATAGCAGCAACCCCAGTCCAGATAGTAGGTCTAAACTCAAGATCTTCCTGTTCACTACTTTTGACTTCCTACACAAATTGATAAATTCTGTCTACATTTAGGGGTTCTTGGAGTAGTTTTGTTCTATATTTAATCCACAGATTCCCTCTTAATCATCAGTCTTGTTTTAACACAACCATCATTCAGGCCAAATCCTTGAAACTTTTTTTGCTTTAGTAATGAGGGCAAAGAGAAACTTTCTTAAGATATATCCTATTTAGAGGGACAATTTGATATTAAAAACATGCTGGTATAAAGTTCAATATTTGAGGCTCTAAAGATAGGCACCAAGTCGTACTAATGTCAAGCATTTATTATACTTTTGTTTTTTAGGTTTTTGCCATAAGGTTTATGTGCTCACTGTAGAGAGATGTAAAGGAAAGTGAGAAATCATCCCTCAAGGGGGATGGCCATGCCACAATCACTTCTGCATTCTCCTCTCAGGATTTTTGGGCATGAATGCACATATGCCCAAAGTGATTTTCAAGCCACCAGGTCTGGGACTCAAACCACACTCGGCCATGTCAGAGTCCAGTACCGTAACCACTATGCCACCTGCCGGCCCCACATTTATTATACTTTAATTGGATCTTGCTCCCTGACCATTACAGACTATCAGAGAGCTAGTACAGCTGACCCAAATACACATCAGATTCTGATCAGAAGTAAGTAGATGAATAATTATAGCTTCATCCACTGCTCCAAACCTGATTAGCCCCACAAAACTTTTCCAACTCAGTTGACTTTTTTTTTTTCACTTTTCACTTCCAATGTCCTCTAGGTGAATAGAGATATAAATTGTAATATGAAACAAATTCTAAATGTGAATCTGAAAAGAGCTTCAGTCTGGCTCTCTAAAAATACAAAAGCTGGGGTGGGCAGGAGGCGTGGTTAAGGGCGCTTGACTCCCATAGGGCCGACTGCAGCTCTGCAGTTCCCGGCCCAGACCTGGCGACTTTCTCTCTCTTGCTCTGTCCCTCTTTGGTCAAATTTAAATAAATAAATAAAGTTAAATAATTCTAAAAAAAAAAGCCAGTCCATGTTGTCTGTACCTGACTTAGCTCCTCTTTCCAGTCGAACAATTCAGCATGAATTGAAACCAGGTTTTCCTGTGGAAAGTTTCAGCTCTATGAGGGGATAGAAGCTGACTGAGTTCTTTCTTGCAATTCCTAATCAGTGTTTATTTGCATAGTGTATCTCATTAAGATGAGAATGTCTTTCATTTGCATCTTTTCACTGCCAAACACATTTCTTGTTTAATGCATTTGGCCTTCACATTTCTGTATAATAAAGATCAATTATTGGCTTTCTGGTCTCTGTGCAGTTTTATAACCTTTTGTTTTTTTCTTCCTGTCTGTCTTTTTCAATTTTTTTAGTTTGTCAGCACACGCACTCACCAGAGAGACAAAGAGAGAAAAAGACACCCCACCCAGTAGGACCAGGTCATGCCCTTTTCCTTCATTTCTTTACCCCATCCAGATTACAGGCATGTGTACATGCCTGTTAGAGCCAGGATTCAAACCTTGCTGTGGGCCATGTGTAATCCAGCTCCCTTAACCAACGGACCAGAGGGCCAGCTTTGAACTTACGCTTGAAGTATCTTTCCAGGCTGAAAAAGAAGATCCAGGGCAGTAAACAGAGGAAACATTACATACAAAATCATTGTTAATGTGCTACAGTTTTGCGGTTTGTTTGTTTTGTTTTTTTTGGAGAGGTTTTTGCTATAGGGCACGTGCGCTCACCAGAAAGACAGAGAAAGACAGAGAGACAGAAAGTGAGAAATCACCCCCCAGGGGGGATGACCACACCACACTCTTTTCTCCTCCATTCTCCTCGCTGAATCTTGGGCACACATGCACATGTGCCCAGCGTGAGTTTAAGCCACTGGGTCCGGGACTCGAACCATGATCAACTACATGAGAGTCCAGCAACATAGCCATTACGCCAACTGCTGGTCCCAAGTTTGTTGGTTGGTTTTTTTTTGGAGATTTTTGCTCTAGAGTGCATGAACTCGCTGGAGAGACAGACAGAAAACAGAAATCAACTCCCAGAGGGGATGGCCACACCGCAATCCCTTCTTTCTCCTCTCAGGACCTTGGGCACACATGCACACATGCTCAGCCTGAGTTTAAGTCACTGGAGTGACTCAGACCGTGATAAGACTACGTGGCAGTCCAGTGACATAACCACTATGCCATCTGCTGGTCAATTTTATGACTGTGTGTACTTTTCACATAGTTGCAGAAAATATCATCCTGAAGGAGTATGTTCAAGATGTTGACTAAACAAGTATTCTTAAAACTGGCAAATTGTTTATCTTCATGCTTTCCTCTGTATATGAGTTTTTGACACATTTTACTTAATAACTTCTTTAGAAAAAGAAAAACATTTTATTTTGTTTTTTTGAAGTTGACTAGAGACAGAGAAGAAAAGCAAGAAAGCAAGCTCTCAGGCCTGGGACTCAGACTGTGGTCAGTTATATGGAAGTCCAGCCATCTTCACCATGCCAGCCTCCTTAATAACGTCTTTAAATAGCTTTTACAGGGCAAGTTTATGGGACATGAACTCCCTCGGTTTTTGTCTTAGTATTTATTCTTCACTTTTGAAGGATAATTTCACTGGATATAAAATTCTAGGTTGGGGACCAGCAGTTGGCGTAATGGCTATGTCACATGACTCCCACATAGTCGACCGAGGTTTGAGTCCCGGACCTGGTGGCTTAAAACTCAAGCCGGGCGCGTGTGCATGTGTGCCCAAGATCCCGAGAGGAG